TCTAATACTATATAAAACTATATAAAAACTAAATAGAAATGTGTAATAAACTAAAACTAACAAAATTATTAATGAAACTAATAAAAACGAAACTAAATTTTATTGCAAATTTGAAAACGATATTAAAATAAAACAAATTTAAAAATGCAAAACTATAATAACCTTGGTCTCCAGCAACATTTCCAGGTTTTGTTGTTATATATATATTTTTAAAGAATTCTCTTCTGCTCACCAAGGCTGCATTTATTTGATCCAAAGTACAGCAAAAACAGTAAAATGTTGAAATATTTTTACCATTTAAAATTGCTTTCTATTTTAATAGATTTTAAAATGTAATTTATTCCTGTGATCATACATAGCTAAATTTTCAGCATCATTACTCCAGTCTTCAGTGTCACATGATCCTTCAGAAATCATTCTAATATGCTGATTTGCTGATTATCAATATTTAAAACTGTTGAGTAATTTTTTTTTCAGGATTCTTTGATGAATAGAAAGATCCAAAGATCAGCATTTATCTGAAATAAAAAGTTTTTGTAACATTATACACTATTCCATTCAGGAATTAATTTCTTTCATTTTTTGGGAAAGAAATTAATACTTTTATTTAGCAAGGATGCTTAAAATTGATCAAAAGTGATGATAAAGGCATTTATAATGTTACAAAAGATTTCTATTTCAGATAAATAGTGTTCATATCGATATCGGAATTATATCGTATCGACCGAAATTAAGAAATATATCGTGATATCAATTTTGGCCATATCGTCCAGCCTTAATATATACACACCTTGCTACGTGTACTAGTGCTGTGTTCAAAATATCGATACGACGATGTATCGTCACAGAGATTTGACGATACGAGTATCGATACAGCTGGCCCTGTATCGATATTGTGGCACGTGTGCAGCAGTGGACCGCGCTTAATTTGTTTAAAATTTTACAACGTTTAAAATTTAGTAGAAAAGTGCGAGGTTTCTAAAAAAGAATGAATAGAGCATATATAGGATAACGTTACAACCAGGTTTAATCTGGCCGCAGAGGAACACAACGGGGTTGCCTGATATAAAGAGACGTAATCCCCGAAACAGAGAGTCACACTTGCGCACTACGGAAATATCTGCTAAATGTGTTACTTATCTTTATCAAACTGGCAACCATGTGCACGCGCGCTCTCTCCAAAGTTTATTCCTGAAGTTTGTAAGTTTGTTTTTCACTCTCCCAAAACGCCGGATCCATGTGGACGAAACGCCTATACGATACAAAATTTAATGCTTATACAGCTAAACGCGTCTCCGTGTGGACTCAGTCTTAAAAAGGTATACATGTAAGCAAAACAGACAGTTATCTTTTCTCGTAAAACGTGACAAGATCGCAAATTCAAAAGTGAAAGCTTCCGAAGCCTGTGGCTTATAAGAGGAACTCCTGTTCTCAAAATTCAAATCACAAATAATACTACTAATGAAAAAGGACGGGTTGAATGTTAACCTCTTTCGTTTCCATATAACTATAAACTATGATAAAAGTTCATCAGCATGCATTGATTAATCCCATGTTGTAGCAAAAAAACAATTGCGACCAAATCTTGTTCATGTGACCAACTGAGAAAGTTAGTCGCAAAAGAGCGACCAGTGGGAAGAATGAGTCTGGAGCCCTGCAGAAACTACAATAGTTTACTATGAATTAAATGGAGATTAAATTAAATTACATTTATTATGTAACCAAAATACTAATAATGCCCAGAAGAAAAAAAACTTAACAAGTGACTTTTAATTATAAACAAGCCCAAAACACACCAGGACTTGAAATGTCTATACTATTGCGGGCTGATCTGTCAGATGAGAGTGAAAATATGCATTCTTACAACCGTCTAAAACACATTATATAAAGGTCACAAAGTAGACATTGTCATAATTCAACTCGAGGTCATAATCAATCGCTTGGCATAAATGTGCTCTATTCATTGATTGAGAATTACTTTGAAGCAGTCTGAAGCACTGTTGCGTGAGCCTGTAGATCACGCATTAGCACCGCCTTGAGACACTGTAAAGTGCAGTGCCTTTTTTAAATTAATTCATATACTTTTGAAGTTTAATAATCAATAGGCTTTATTGCAATTTTTTCATCCCCAAAATATAAGATAACATCTTGAAATGATCATTAAGATGTATGTTTTACCATTTCATTTATTGAAGACTTATGACATTAAATTTAAGAAAACTCACATGGAGGGTTTTCGCTTTATTCGCACGTGTGCTTCTAAATACAATTTATAGTTTGCACACATCTATTTTTAGTCGCAAATGCGAGTGAAGCACCCGCACTGTGGTCTCTGCAGCTAACTGTTGCTGTAGTTGTTTTTTGCTTTCCATTGTCACCTTTGGCTTGCTTATTTGGAGTTTAAAAAACACTTAAAGGGATAGTTCACCAAAAATTTTAATTGCCATTTACTCACCCTCAAGTTTTTCCAGACAATGAGTTTCTTTTCTCTGTTGAATACTAAAGATATTTTGAAGAATGTTGGTAACCAAACAGTTGACGGTAGCCATTGACTTATAATATGGGGGAAAATACTATGGAATTCAATGACTACCATTTGGGTGAACTATATTACTGGTTTGACTGTAGTGACACTATCGCATGAGAACAAAACTTGAGCTTGAGCTGAAAAATTACACCATGGTCTTATGTAGAGCTGCTTTTTAAGCTGAATGTTTCATAGTTTATGAACTTCACACAGCTATTCAACTGAACTAAGTCAACTCAACCCTGTACTGACTTGAGCGGAATAAAGACACTGTCTTTTTTTAGAGCTGCTTTGTCTCATATTTTAAGAAGCTTACGTCGTTGGTCCTGGTATTTTCCTGTTTATTACTGTGAAGCTAGTTTGAAACAATCTGTATCGAATAAAGTGCTATATAAATAAAGGTTGACTAACTTTACTTGACTTGTTTGGACCGTTGCATGATGTTAATATGTGCAGGTCTGGAATATATTGTTTAGGGATGCACTGAATGTTCGGCAACTGAAATTATTCGGCCGAATAAGCGAAAAGACCGAATAAATTGTACCGAACAATGACGTGACGCGATCAAATAGAGGCGCGCGCTAATGCAGCAAACATGACGGCAGTGTGGAAACAGCTGTCCGAGAAAGACGCAAAAATCATTACAAGCACCGTCAGCGAGAGACTGTTTAGGATTGCATCGCATGTCTTCGATGAGAAGAGGAAGGGTGGTTGTTGCTGGTTACTGTATGATAATTACAATCGTGAAATGCCTTTAAAAAATTAAATAAACTGCAGAATTATTGTTTGTTTATGAAATAAATAAATTATGATTTATTATGAGTTATGTTTTCTAATACACGCAGGAATTGCATGTGTTCAAACAGCGCTGCACGAGCTCGCGGCGGTAGGGTTCAAAGTCCAAATCGCGAGGGAAATCTGCACCGAAACTGTTACTCATCAGCTACTCAGTAACATTTTAATGTGACAATGCGATACGTGCAACAAACGTCTTCCCAAATTCGTAATGAGAATATTTGTCAACAAAAAGAAGCACTGAGGTCTTTCTGCGGGTTTCTGCCAAAATAAAAGTTGAGAAAAAGCAAGAACTCCGTCAACATTAATAAATGTTATTATTGTAATTTTACTGTTGCTCTGTAAAATAAAATAATAATTACAACAGCTCTATTAAAACATTTATTGTAAAATTTACAGTGTTCAGACTAGGATTTATAATATTTTCTAATGTTTTAAAAGAAGTCTCTTCTGCTCAGCAAGGTTGCATTTATTTGTAAAGCCCCGTTCACACAGCCAGCGACAAAGCGACATACTCCTATTTTCAATGGAGAGCTGGCGACTTCCGGCGACACGAGCGACAGTGACCGTTGGCATGTCAAGCGATGCGAGTCAAGCGACAAAAGTTAAGAAATGTTTAACTTTATGCAAATAAACAGCGAATTTCGCGAGCGCATTCGAGTGCAGGCAAGACGGGACAGATTTGCTGAGCGATTTCACGGTTTTATATTAGTTTACTGTAACCACATACATGGATATAAAAAATGATGCGTAGAAAAGAAACTGTTGGCGGTTTAAGTGAGTTTGATTCATACATTGATGGTTCGAGTTGTTAATTACATGATGCAGTGAGCGGTTTAGCACCGTTAATGATTTAATGCACGAGCACTGCTGAAGTTTATATAACAACACTCTCCAACAGCAGAATGGTACTTTTATTTCTTTTAAGTCTGCCAATAACATTCGAGCGACAGCAGTAGGAACGCCCACAAGCGTCTTCACAGCACAGAGTCTAGCGACATACAGCGAAAAAGTCGCTGGCAGTGTGAACGGGGCTTAAGGCAAAAATACATGCCTGATTCAAGAAGGGGGTCTAAAAAATGGCCAAAAAATATTATTTTACTAACTTATTAATTTTAAGTTGTGTTTTATTGGTATAATGTCTGCTAGAATGCTAAAAAAATTTCAGTATTAAGTAAATATTTTTAAATTGTTGTTTTGTAAATTATCTTTTTCTTTGAAAAGCAAGACAAAACAGTAAAAAGCACATTTTGGCTATTTAATTTATGTAATGGTAAAAAAATTGGCAAAATGGGGGGAAAAAACGTGTTTGGTATTCAATCCAGAAAAATTACTGCTGTCGCTCGAATGTTATTGGCAGACTGCACGTCTTGATATATCTTTAGAAAATGCAATCACAAACTATATTGCCAGTAAAACTATAAGATATTCTAATATGACTAGGAATTAGACTTAAAAGAAATAAAAGTACCATTCTGCTGTTGGAGAGTGTTGTTAATTATTCGGCCTTCGGCCCAGTGTTTCATTTTGTTCTGCTTCGGTTTCGACCAAGAATTTTCATTTCGGTGTATCCCTGATATTGTTGGCTTTAGACCAACATAGAAATGATGGCAACAAAATCATTGATTTAAATAGATTTCCACCAAATTTTAACCATGTCCTCCCTACAATCTCACAGGCCTCTGATCGCTGCCAAGAACCCCAAAATCGCCGTTTCCAAAATGATGATGGTTCTGGGAGCGAAGTGGAGGGAGTTCAGCACTAACAACCCTCTTCGGGGTTCGGCTGCTGCCACCACAGCCCTGGCGGCCGCTAGTGCCTCTGTATCAGTTGAAAATGCAACAGAAAGTCCAGCCCCTGCGCCCACAGCCCAAATCAGTGCCGAGTCCACACCAGCAGCTCCCATACGCAAGGCCAAGACAAAAGAGGGCAAGGGTGAGTGCAAAGTTGTTTCAGTTCTTTTCATTTGTGTTTTTGATTTGGTTTTTCACCATGTGAGTGACTGCCTGCGAAGCAACTGTTTTCCCCAGCAGTGACATTTGTGTGAAATGTTATTACAGTTTAAATGGCTGTTTTCTATTTGATAATTTTTTTTAAATGTAATTTATTCCTGTGACGCAAAGTTTAATTTTCAGCATCCAGTCTTCAGTGTCACATGATCCTTCAGAAATCCAATAAAACAAGATACTTTATATGATTTTACATGCTAATTCCTGCGCATTTCAGGGCCCAATGCACGCAAGAAGTCCAAACCCGCACCCAAACCTCAAGAGAAGAAGGTGAAGACCAAAAAGGTTGCTCCTCTGAAGATCAAACTAGGAGGCTTCAACAGCAAGAGGAAACGCTCATCTGTAAGTACTTCAGTTCTACTTTTTTCCCCTTCCTTTTCTCCAGCTTGCCTTTGAACTCATCCTTTAACCTTTTTCCATGAAAGATGTTTTTTTTCTTTTTTCTGCACTCTGCTCTAATTTTAGACATAGTATCTCGCTGATGACATCCAAGTAATTTTCTGGTAATTTATCAGACTGTGCATTTCTCTCTGCTTTTTATTTCAAATTCTCTTTTATAGAGTGAAGAGGATGATGTTGACGTGGACAGTGACTTTGATGATGGCAGTATGAACAGTGTGTCTGTTTCGAATGGATCAAATGGCCGCAGTAGTCGCAGCAGTTCTAAAAAGAAGCCCAAAAAGAAGACGAAAAAAGGTGAGAATCTTGTGTTCTCTGTTTATCAGTGCTTGTGAATATTATTAGGCTTAAACAGGCCAAGGTAACACCTTATAGCTGTCATAATCCCTTCAGAGAACAACTTAAGGGACCAAAGACTATTTAGTTAGTAAAACCTTGTATTTTGAACGTACTAAAACCCTGACGAATATTTGGAAAGCCTAGAGTGAAGTGATCATGAAATTAGATATCCTCCCCTAAAAATAAAAATGCATTTGAGGCACATTACTTTCATAGAGCCCTATGAAATCAGTTTTATTTTTTTCTCAAGTTACATGTTTTTAATTAAAATTTTTCTGGATTGTTTGATT